GCCATCCGGTTTCTGTGAAGCACCACGTGAGGGAAGAGGAAGTGAAATCTAGCGGACTGTTAAAATCCAAAGGGCGCCATTCATCACAGAACTCGAGTGGGGACGCCGCCAGGGTGGACCGCCTCCGAGCCGTGGTCCCCTTTGTGCCTGCAGACCCAGCCCTCCCTAAGTCTAACACGGACCTTCCATTTCAATTTTTCAGTCCAGAGACGGAGAAAAACATTTTTTTTTGGAGTCTCCCCTAGTTTATAACATCGCTTTTATTTTTTTAATCCCTGGGGTTATCCTTCATATTTTCCTTGCAGTGCAAGAGAAATATTGGATTTATAATTATTCATATTATGAATATTATTCATAATGTTCATAATTGAATATTATTCATAATATGAATATGAATATATATTGAATGAATATATTGAATTCATATATATGAGTATATATGAATATGATATAATGTTCATATTATGAATATTTCATATTATGAATATTATTATTATATTATGATGAAGCCATCCAGGCCCCAGAATCTTGTGGTCTACCCTCTCATGAGCTACCTTCAAACAGTGGGCTGGGTGAAATTCCCTGATGCCATGGAATGCCAAGGGCTTCGAGCCCTGCTATCCTCCTCTTTTCTATCCTTAAATATCTTTAAAAAGTCTTAAAGGTGCAGAACAAGAATGTCCCCTGTAGTATTCCCACCATCTTTAAGATAGATTCATTTCTATGAAAGAGCTTAACACTGACGGGAAGTAACATTCCAACAACAGGGTCGCGTTCATGCTTGGATGGGAGACCACCTGGGAATGCTGTAGGTTTTAAAAACAACTCTAGGGAAATGCCTGCCGTTGTATGCTCCAGACACATCCCGTTTCTAAGCCCCGCCTCCCACCCCCTTACAAAGGTACCTAATGGGGCGTAGTTTGAATTCTCTCCCAAGAAGCAGGAGTCTCTCGACTCCTGGCTGGATCTGTAATCTTTAACAGAACAGCCGTGCCTGTCAGGTGAGGTCAATTGAGAACGTAAAGCCAGAGGAGGGACCAAGGTTAAGGTTAATCTAGGTTAATTGCTGACATTGATTCAACCACGGGCCGGGACGGCTACCTCTCTTTCCAGGTGTGGGTAGGTATGGCGGCCTCACTTCACTTTTGTTGGAGCACGGGAGGCCAATTTCAACTGGGCCTTCTCTGAAGATCTGTTCGGTGTCTCTTAAGCAGCGAGCCTGGGTGACAAACAGAGAGTCAGACCACCCACCCACTGCAACACGAAGGAAGAGAGTGTGGAGAGGAGAGGAAGTTGTTGTTGGACGCTGTTGGAAAGCAGGTTTGGTCAATGCATCAGCAAAGGAACTCAGCTTTAGAACTTCGTTCCCAGTGTGTCTCAGGAGGCAGAAGGAAGAACGCCACGGTTCGAGGGAAGGTGAGTTCATCCCTCGCCGACTCAGTAAAATGAATACACGGAGATCTTGTGTATCGCGCAGTTGAGCCACTGAAGACTGATGAGCATTTGGTTGGACCATCGACTAATGGATTGGCCGTGGGCATTGCTGCGTGGGGACTTCGTATCGCGCTTATGGAGCTGTAAAATTAGGTGCTACCTGATTTAGTTATCTGATTTAATTCTCAGCCCATCACACTCTGCAGACGAGATATTCAATAATAACAAAATTGTGTTAAAGGAGTGTACGATTGCTCAAATTCATGGCGAGGCTACTTGGAAAAGGAAAAGTCTTAAACACGCAGAAGTTTACTTTTCCTGCTTGCTTTCATAAATCTTATATCAAAGGACGGCAGATGGCACGTGATGGCGAGGTTCAACAACGCCCGAGTTTGCAAATGACCCAGCGGCACGCCGTTGGCCATTGTAAGGACGTGGCATTTGGATTACAGGAAAACTGGCCAGGGCTCCGGATTTGTATCCCGCACACGTCTGCCCACCGCGGAGATGTGAGCAAACCGATCCCGCACCCGCTCTGGGGCTCCGGGTTCGCTGATATCGTTGACCAGGGATTAAGGGAGAAGCTTTACCAAAATGACTGTGGGAAAATCAAATGAGATCCTGCCTGGGAGGGGAGAGTATAAGTGACAGTTATTAAGAATATTTGTCTTTTTTTTTTTTTTTATTGGTTAATTGAACCTCTCCAGGAGATGCTGCAAGTCAGAATGACATAAACCAGTACTGAGAACGCGAGTGTCCAGGTTTAAAATACAGGGACACAGAGCCGTGGCTGCGTGCCAGCTGGCTGGACAGAGGGGAGGGAGGTTAGGTGGGAATTCAGGCAGATGAAGGATGCTCACGTCTTCAGAGGAAGCACCGAATTTGTTTCCCGGGTGCTTATATAAAGGTAATGATGGAGGCCTGGCCGCGCGGTGGCTCACGCTGTGGTAATCCTAGCATCTGGGAGGGCCTTGAGGAGGGGCGATTGCTCAGGGTCAGGAGTTCAGAAACCAGCCTGGAGCGAGGACCCCGTCTCGACCATAAAAATAGGAAAAAGAGAATTTGAATTGGCAACAATAGTACTATGAATATAAAACTAGCCGGGGGGCATGGGTTCGCGTGCCTGTAGTCCCAGCTACTCGGGTAAGCTGGAGGCAGACAGGATCCTATCGAGCCAGGAGTTTGAGGTTGCGTGTGAGCTAGGCTGCGCCACGGCACTCACTCAGCCCTAGGCAAGAAAGCGAGAACTCGCTGT